GTATGAATGGTAGTTCGGTTCTAGATTCGTCTGGAGTTCTACCGGCTATGGTGATTGACCTTTGGGCGACGATGAGACTCATCGAGACGGTTTTGGGATATCTTGTTCTTCTTCTCCAGGTGTTTCCTTGTAGAGTCCATTTTTTCTATCACACCTCGCAATTTCAAAAGCACACAACTCAACGAGGTTCTATACATCTGCAAATTTCAAACATGGTTTACTTCTCTGCAGCAAACAACAAGTCTAAAATTTCCTCCAGTCTCCCCGAAGTGTTCCCACTTCACTCGGACATGGACCATAAGGCTAGCTTTTTCTAAGGCCTTACGGTTGTTCAGTTTACTACACACTTAATCTAGCTCGGTAAAATCTCCAACAGCCGATTACCTCGGTATTTACTTTTGCTGATACCTCTGCAAAATATCTGTTTGTTAGCTGATATCTCAGCAAAATGTTATTTGTTAGCTGAGTCTCGGCAATTGTTTTACTGAATCTCAGCAAAATAAATTGCAGAATCACTCGGCTGTTGGAATCTTTGCGAAAATTTTTAAGTGAACTGGTAGTAGTAGGTAACATCATACCACGAGTTCAAATCTCACCCGGACAAGTCACGAATGACCCAGAGTGTTAAAGTGACTATAATAATAATAAAAAAAGGAGATCCCGTTCCGTGAATCGCCAGGACGGGATTTAATTTTCATTTTGATTACTTGGATTTGTTCAATCCATCTTTGATCTGATACAGCGATTATTCACTGAGCAGACCTTTCAAGACAACCTTGAAAACAGACGTTCAGTGTAAGTGCCTTAAGTGAAAATATTTGGGTTGCTTCTCAGCCAATTTGAAGTGAAAACTTCAATTTAACGAAGTTCAAAAGTTCCGTACGAAAAGCATGGTAATCGGAAGTGGTTATCACAATAGGGGGAACCTTTTCCTTCTTGGCATTGAGCCGGAAAAGTTTAGTGGCATTTTGCCTGGATGATGGATCATTCTCATTGTGCTCAAATAAATTTCATCCGAAGAGGGATCAAGAGATTGCCCTTTTCCTTTGTGCTTAGACACTATGGCGGCAGAAGAAAGTTGCTCCAAATCGACTTCCAAGCAGATTACTTTAAGAATCCGACGGATCTAAGAAGAATTTTCCAACTCGATACCCAAGCAGGATTACCACGGGTAGGATCAAAGCGGAATAAGAATAGAAGATTTACAGGTACAATGATGATCACAAATTACTTTGAAGGAAAGTACCCAACAATTCAAAGCACAGCTTCCGATATTCTTCGATAACATCAGGTTGCTCAGAAATTTATCCAAACCATCGCAATGTTTGTCGAACACGTCTAAACATTTTTTTTTTGCTGGAGCTGGAGCAAAATAAAAACTCGGAGCAACATTAGAAAAATGCACATCACCTACCTAATGGTGCTGTAGGCAGTGTCTGTTTTAATCATTTACCATCACTCGCGAGAAGTAGAGCTTCAACCCATTGTTGATAAATTGCGTTCGTTTTGAATACCTTCGCTATGAAGTACGAGCGAAACGAATAAATGAGTTCATTATACAACAAAAAATACGCGTTTGCTGATATTCACCACTGCTTGATTATCCAACCCTAAATTGTCAAAATCAGAAGTGATCCTCAAAAGCAAAATAATCAAATTCATTTTGGGCAAAATGATTATTTTGAATACTATCGACTCCAGAGCCTAAAACCTCGATATTATCATCAATTCAGCATGAGGCAATAATTTTCCATCAATCTGAGTTATAAAAAACAACACAGCACGTTCTATAGCGCTATATTGGTGTAATATGAAAATAATCATTTTGCATTTGATCCTGAAAATCATCCCCACCAAGGTGAAGAGGAATATTTATATTGACAATAACACAGGCGATAATAAACATCCAGGCACGAATGAACAAAAACAAATGTTTACTTCGCTACTCAGCGGTTGCTGTGATCAAGAGAATATGTTTATGTCAAAATTCAAATTCATGCACACAGCAAAAAATAAATTTTAATATTACATCCAAGAAGATGCACTTCAATCGTGTCAAAAATCTCATGTAATTTTTATGGTCACAAAAATAAACAAGTACAGTAAAAGCAGCGTAATGTCAGTTCATGCACTGTATTAATGATAATTTTGTCCTTTTTTGCTAGTAATATTACACCATATTTTTGACACGATTGAAGCAACAATCAATACGAAACTAACGATTTTAAATTGGCTCACCACTTTAGTAGCCTATTGGTCCCAAGCAAACGATTAACGTACCCTATTCTAGTCGAAATTTTAGTACTACGCAATGTTTGTTTTGATTCGCTATGAAAGTTTGACAGATAAAATGAGGGGTTATTGGTTTTTCCTATGTTTCGAGGGGTGATTCGACAAGCTTGGGACCGAAGATAGTACCAGAGGTGAGCCAAAAAGTTGAGCACGTTTCTTCGGGACCTACTTGTCTTAGAGTTACCTCTATGATATTGAAGTGCATCCACTTTGATGTGATATCAAAATTATTTTTTGCTGTGCAGGTAGTTTGTCTATCAGTTAAGGTTGTCTTCTTTCTCAGCTAAGTTGAGTGTAGAAGGAATGATTTTTATCAGCACTGGCTGTTGGTTTGCGTGTGTGGCCTTCGGTTTGTGAGAAAAGGGTTTTGAAACGGTTTGTTTACAAATGCTGATAGGCCCTAATAGGTTGCTCCAGAGATAATCTGAAAAAAATAGCAACTGTTTTTTTCCGGGACTGAATACCCACATACCCAAACATATACACTCTCTACAATACGAGAGAGAAAGGTTGCGTTCTTTCATAGTTTAATCAACAATCAATACGAAACTAACGGTTTTAAATTGGCTCACTACTTGACTAGCCTATTGGTCCCAAGCAAACAACTAACGTATCCCATTCTAGTCGAAATTCTAGTACTACGCAATGTTTGTTTTGATTCGCTATGAAAGTTTGACAGATAAAATCAGGGGTTATTGGTTTTTCCTATTTTTGGAGGGGTGAATCGATTAGCTTGGGACCGAAGATAGTACCAGAGCTGAGCCAAAAAGTTGAGCACGTTTCTTCGGGACCTACTAGTCTTAGAGTTACCTCTGTGGTTTAATCCTCTCTTGGTGTTTACCGAATTGAGGATTAAGCTTTAATCCAAATTTCCGAAAATCGCGTATTATCCTCGATGGAGCAAGTTTTGTAAAGGTTTTGTCGCAAAAATGAAGAAAATTAGGATTTGATAAAGACGAGTGTTGATTCAACCGGAACCTGCTCGGAATAGGTTTGACAGCTATTTATTGACAAGAAATCACGAGTAAGTATGATCAACTTCGAAAGAGTACGGACTGGATCATTGAGCGAAGTTGTTATCAACCAATAAATACGACAAACATGAAGGGATACATTTTCGTTACTATTTTAATACCCCGTACAAGTGTCTGTTTTTATCATTTACCATCACACGCAAGGAGTATCGCTTCAACCCAGTGTAGATGAATTGCGTTTGTTTTGAAAATGTTCGCTGTTACGTACAAGTGAAATGAACAAATGAGTTGATCATACATCAACGAGTACACGTTTTTTGATATTTTCCAGTGCTTGATTATCAAACCCAAAATTGTCAAAATCAGAAGTGATCCTCAAAAGCAAAATAATCAACGACATTTTGGGCAAAATGATTATTTTGAATATTGTCGACTCCAGAGTCTAAAACCGGGATTTTATCATCAGTTCAGCTTGAGGCAATAATTTGCCATCGGTTTGTGTGTAAAAACTAACACGACACGTCCTTCAGTGCTATATTTGAGTAAAATGAAAATAATCATTTTGCATTTGATCTTCAAAATCATCGCCACCAAGATGAAGACGAATATTAATATTGACAACAACGGAGGCGATAATGAACATCCAGCCACGAACGAAGAAAAACAAATGCTGACTACGATACTCAGAGGTTGCCTTGGTCAAGAGAATTGTGTTATGTCAAAATTCAGATTCATGCAGGTAGTTGGTCTATCTGTTAAGGTTGTCTTCATTTTCAGCTATGTTGAGTGTAGAAGGAATAATTTTTATCAGCACTGCCCCGTACAGACTATGGCTTATATCATGTAGTATAGACTGTCTTGCAATGAGCACTCATACATCTAGTTTTCACTGGAAATCCTATGTATGAGTGCTCATTGCAAGGCAGCCTATATTACATGATATAAGCCATAGTCTGTACGGGGTATAAAACTGCAGAATCCATCTCCATATGAGTTGCCATTGTTTAAGCAATGCATCGGTTTGTTTCTATTTTAAAGACCAAGCGTCTCCATGGTCACTCGCTCTTACTGATCGACGGTTGTAAGTTTCAAAGAAACCATTGATTAGTTCGCAAAGAAGTCCGCTGCTCCACCACCATAACGGAAGCCAAATTGCTAACGAAAGATAAAGTTGATGAAGAGGATGGTTGTCCCAGAATGTTGCACAATGTTTTCAAAGTTTAATTACAACTTTCCAAATCAATCTACCATGTATCAATAGTGCTGGCGAACCTGCTTCCACGTTTCTGATCCCTTCTGCAGTTGCAACATTCTCTGCAGGTAAACTTTTTATCAAAGAACCTCACACACAAAAAATAAAACTACACTGAACCTAAAACCACAACAACTCTCACAGGATGATAGAAACAATATTATCCACACTCGAAAGAGACGGTGCGCTTTCGATTGAAGTGTATTTGTGTATCCGTATTTCTATACTTTTCTGTTATTTGTGAAGGAAGAAAACACACAAGACTGTTTGTTGATTCAAACTTGCTCCTTCACTTTGATTTCACCGTGTTTCTTGTTGTTTTCGACTCGATGACTTTTTGTTATAAAGTTTTCCTTTCTCCGGTATGCCTAGGCACACAATCAATGCTATCCTCGGTGATACTGACGGCAGGATTTTCTGTTTCTCTCTCTCTTTCTCTCTTTCTGTGTCTTCCCAACCGTGCATCCGCCATACAACTTTAGGAATCAATGCTGGGCTCGCAGATCCAAGGCATGCGGAGCGCTTTGCCCGGATCCAAGGGTGAACCGGGTGACAAGGGCGACGTCGGCCTACTTGGTCCGAAGGGCGAACAGGGCAGCAAAGGGGACCGGGGCGACCCGGGCCTCACCGGTGCCAAGGGAGAACGGGTAGGGGAAAAGCGATTTTCGCTGCGGTTTTCTCAACTCCTAGACTCGTAGCTGCCTGTGGGCTGTGGAGAATCGCTGTTGTTGTTGCGGCTGTTGTTGCTGGAGTGCTTGAGTTTTTGTGGCTGCGGTCAAAGCGGGGGACGGTGTTGACGTTGCATTTCTTCCGGGAAAGGATCCAAACCGACAAAAAGATGCGAACAGAATACCGAACATTTTAAACGAACCGGTTCGAAACTCTACCCATCTCATCTCACCACAATACCGCAAGTTCCACCCACCGTAGCATGCTCCAAGCGGTGTCATTAGCGTTGCAAAGCACTCCTACCCCTCGCTTAAACTTCGCAATCTGCAAACCGGAAGAAATGCAACCCCCCATCCGGCCCAGCCAAATTTAATCTTTTCTCACTTAGCAATAGCAACAACAGCAAAACTCTCGACAGCCCCACATAAATGTTGTTTTGATTTTTCTTTTCAAGACCGCTTTTCCACCAACTTTCCCCGTATTGCTCGAATAGGTAGCTTAAGCTTGGTTTCGTTTGCTCTGGACAACCTTCACCCTGTCGTCCCTGGGCTTTTATGTTGCGTTGTTTCTCCTTCAACCCCATTCCAAAGGTGGGAAAAGAAAAGTTTACTTTTCGCATCGCTTGAATAGCCTCTTGTCCTTAAAAAGTTTACTTTTAAAAAGCGATTCAGAAAAACATTCTCCTCCTCTTCACAGGAAACTGTTGGGTGTACCTTTAGTGGATTTCTTTTGTGTTTAATGCTATCTTCTTTGCATGAATGCTTGTTGCATGGAACGCTTTTCAATTGAGCTCAACTCTAATAAAAAAAAATTCAAATTCTCAGGGTCACACATCGATGGGAGCACCGGGACCGAAGGGATCGGTCGGTCCTTCGGGAGTTCCGGGAATCCCCGGTCAAACCGGATCCCCGGGAACGAAAGGAGACAAGGGACACACCGGTGACGTCGGACCGGCTGGACCACCGGGACCTCCCGGAATAGTGGTGAATACGGATGCAAAAAATACCACCGGCACATCGGATTGTCGCTGCCAACAGGGGCCACCGGGTTTGCCCGGTTTGCGAGGGCCAACCGGCTTCGATGGAACGCCAGGATTGCCAGGTAGGTGTTTCACTTCGGAATTTTAAGGTCGGATTGCAAGTTGACTTTTAGGAACTCATTTGACCAAGCAGACCGGGCTTAGGGACAAAAGGTCGAACGACAGAACGTCGGAAGGACAAAAGGTCGAAAGGGACAAAAATCAAAAGGGACAAAAGGTGGAAAGGGACAAACGGTCGAAAGGACTAGAGCTGATGTAAATATTCTGAAACTGATTTATCATGAATTCAAACAAATTCTTGAAAGTAAAATATGATTTTATACTATTTTCCCTTCTTTGAAAACTACCCGTTCTTTAAAATTTGGTTTTCATTTTGCTGTAATGTTGAATTATATAATAAAAAATACTATCTATTCAACATACACAACGGCTCATTTTGTCCGATAACAAAAGCAAATCCCCTACTGTTAATTGACCTGCAGGTATAACATTGAAAAATATACCAATTCGTCAAAAACTAAGAAATCATCGTATATACAAGAAACGACTTGCATTAATCCCCACTGTCGCAAAATTTCCAATTTCAGGAGAAACCGGTATGCCAGGACACCCAGGTCTACCGGGCGACAAAGGCGACAAGGGAAACACCGGCCCAAAAGGTGAAAAAGGCCCGGAATTCATCATCAACGAAAACGCCTCATTCAATTCAACCCGGGTAAGCACACAAACGCACGCACACCTCCATCTGTTAATCCCCTATCAAATTCTATCGCCCACCGATTCAAATCCACACGCCCTAACCACTTCCGATCGGGTCGGTAATTCCAAGTTTTCCCAACAACCTCAACCGTCAACTGTAAATCCCCTCGTAATCCCATAAACTAGAATTAATTGCCATCTTTTGTACGGGTTTCCGTTCTCCTTCGTATATTCCCATCAGGCGACCAAAGGCGAAAAGGGCGAACGGGGGCCTCGGGGTCGGCGCGGCAAGCCCGGCCCCATCGGACAACCGGACATCAACTCGTACCCGGTAAGTAGTTCAACGCTCCAAAGCCAAAACCGTCGCATCACAGTCGTAGTCATAGGCGGCGTCCTCGTCGTGACAGGATACAACAAGATAATTAATTTTCCCCTGTCAGACGTCAGGAATGTTGATCCACGCTGCTGGAGCTCTACCGTAAAAGAGCAAACAGCAGCGTGTCGTGTGCATGGCTGGGAAAGTATCAACGGTTCAGAAAGGAACAATTTCCCAGACAGAGATTCGCAGCCATTTCTGCGAACCAACTCCCGCCGGACCACATGCGACAGATAGGGATTCCAGCAAGTGCATCATTAAATTTTTCCCTCCTAACAAACGAGCTTAAATTTAGTTCACATACAGAGACCAGCTCTCGCCCTCAGATGTGGGTGGATGATTTTGCTCATGTTATTTTTCCTCTCTACATGTTACTTTTACAATTGCTGATGCTGCTGCTACTGGTGCTCGGGTGACCCATTGACCGTCAACCCAGACACTAAAGGGAGATAAAGGACCAAAGGGGGACCGAGGCGATGTTGGGGTAAGTAACAGTGATTCTTTTTTTTTTTTGCTATCTTAGTTATATGCTACAACTGGAGGGGAATCGTTTCTTCGTTGCACATGTAAACCTTATCGTTAAGTGCTGTGGAATCCCAATTAATGCAGTCAGTTCTGTGGTGTGGAAGCTGCAACCGCCGGCTGCTTGATGTGCTTCCCCGGTACGTGGGAGTTTGGCTGGTGGGAATTTTCATCAGAGGACACGAATGGTCTGATGTCTGATAGCATGAACTATTACTCTCCTAAAGGTTGAATGTTAGTTGGAATGGAGAATGTAACCATCAAAGGAATTATTCAATTTAAGCTTGCGGGAAATTCTACGAATCCCATTGAAGGGATTTGCAGCATGGAAGTTGGCAATGTTTCAGCTTTAGTTGTAGATTGGTAGTTAATTGCCGCTTGATTGATTCGTTTACAGTTGTTTGGTATTTAATTTATAACATTGGGAAACTTTACAAACTTAATGATGATTGACTGTAAAACCTTTCCAGTAACCAATTAACCTTTATACCTACCCAACTTTATCCCGAAAAACAAAATTGTTGTTGCTCCCATTTCTTTAGTATTCAACCGATTTTGTTGACACAGGTTCCAATTAATCAATAATTCCGCTATCATCTGTTTACTTGCTGATGGTAAACTTTTATCACTTTAATTTATGGGTTCATGATTTGTAGACAGAGGGCACAATTTGATTTATATTTTTCCATGAGAATTTTGGCTTTTTTACACAACATGTCAAAAAATCAGCGATGTGTTTGTTTTCGTTTTTGAATTATATTTTTTTGAAGTTATCAAGTTTTGGGTTTTCGCTCAATACTACCATGCGACTAGACAACCATGTTACAGTCGCTCTAAATCAATGGAGACTCATGGTAGTCTAGCGAAAACCTAAAACTTGATTACTTCGAAAATATGTAAATCATTTATATGTTGTGTAAAAAGCCTAAACATTGATGGAAAAATATAAATATTTTGCGCTCTCTGTCTACAAACCATGAAAACCCTAAAATAAGAAATACAAGCAATGTGTTGACGTAGGATTACAACATATTGGGGGTGCAATTAAAAAAAATAAAATCGACCGTGTTACGAAAAGTGCTCAGACTTTGACCACTTAGAACTCTGTCAATAGCGGATAGATTTTAATTCTAAACAAATCAATCGATCGAAAAATTTTCTACAAATCTGCTGATATGAACACTTTATCAATTTTCAATAGGTCACTATTGAAAATCACACAAATATCCAACAGTTGCGATGTTGATCAAATTTATCACCGACTGCCTGCAAAAAGCGCTTTCCCTAACAAAGATTTCAAAACCGAATTCCATCCGCTTTCGCCGGTCGGCTATCACCAGCAGCAGCAACAGTGCTTTCGGCGTGGCGTTGAACACTGTTCTCCAGTACACAACGAAAGGTTCCCCGCAAGCAGCTAGCTATCAAGCCTGCCTTCAAGAACCCTCGATTCACCGAAGATGGAGGAAGAAGCCGCACCGCTACTGATCGGATTCAGTTGCTCGTCGTGAGTCGCTGTGGGCCATCTATGCCAAACGCGTCACCCTCGTTCCAACCAACATACAGCTCACCAGCCTAACCAGTGTTGAACACCCTAATAGCTCAGCGCATTACTCAACCATCATAACAAAACAATTCTTTTCAGGACCACCATCAATTATTGTTGTTTATGAGTTAATTTTTATTGAAGATTCGCTCGTCTTGCTGCCAGCCACATCACCCCCAAAGCTCTTTTATAATGTACCCAGCAACCAATCGTTTTTGGTCAAATGCGTAGCAGTATTAACGTGGTACATAAAATTTCTCGCAATGACCGAATACCACATGACCTTGTCAATTAACCAGAAATACTTCAAAATAAGGTTAGGTTTTCTCTAAAACGCTAGAAAAAACCAAAAAATCTCGAATTTATATGATTGATCACAAATATATCGTGATTGGAAAACTTGAGCAAGAAATTCCTCCAATCAATTTTCGTTTTTTTATGATCTATTGAATAAACCAAAAAATCCGTGCGTTTTGTGCACGAAAATGCGTAATTTTGTCATCAGAAAACGAGGCGTTTCCGTGATGGAAAAAAAGTGGTTTCCCTAACACAGTTGCCAAATATTTATACCGACCACGTAATCCTACGTCAAATCTTCGGTCGTGTCTTGGAAACAACCTCTTACTTTTTCAATCCATCACGGATACGAATTTTGTTCATTTAAATCAAAATATGAATGTTTATACTCTAAACACATTGAATTAAAAAAATTGAAAGGATGTTTAAAATAAAAATATTTATGTTTGAATTAAATTCAAGAGCATGTTTATTTCAACAATATCGAAATATCAATTGTATTTGACACTGAAGTGTTTGTGTTTGGCGTGGGTGGCGAATAAGAATAAAATCGTTGGCGGTGATAAAGGCGTAGAAGACCAACCAGAAAACGGTAGTGCTTTCGCTGGTCATTTCACAGGATCTGGTAGTGGCCCATAAGATCAAGAACTGACCGGAGCGCCAGTGGAGCTGGTGAACACAGAACATTCGTTGTTACCGGGGGTTTTCCGAAAGATTACCCATCATTCGTGGTGAAAGACTGGTCTCTGGATGATGATGATGATGTTCTTCTGAGAATTGCTGCGTCGAGCGATTACCCACAAAACTTTCGATGGATTGAACCTTCTCACCAAGGGATTAGGATATGTGATCTCCTCAAAACCTGGCGTGGAAGAGGCCATCACTCGCACACTTCCTATTCAATTACACGAGACTGCCAGGAATATTATTTCAGAGACAGTACAAAACGGAAAGAGACATTCACCTAGTAAAACCGAAAAAAAAGAAATTCGAATTCTCGAAGAACTAAAAACAAAGCCGGTATTCTATACATAAGCGGACAAAGATAATGCAGTAGTGATTTTAGACAAAGAGGACTATGACAATCGGATGACGGAAAAAAATGACTAATGGCCCATACAGACAGTTGAGGATTGACCCCCTCCCATCTGTGGTTAAACATGTGGATAAAACGTTGAAAGAGTGCAAGGCGTTTATTGGCAACACTACGAATCAATTGAAAGTTTCAAATCCTATTCTACCTAGGATCAAAGGTTTACCAAAGATTCACAAGCCAGGAAACGAAATGAGGGAGATTATCTCGGCTGAACGATCCCCCACTCATAAGCTTGCCAAATGGTTAGTAAAGGAATTTCAAAATATGCCTAAACCCTTTACCACTCGCTCAGTTAACAGCACACAGGAATTCTCGCAAATCAACTTCAGGCATCAGGAGGGATTCGGGAAGATGAAGTCATGGTTTCATTTGATGTCACAGCACTTTTTCCGAGTGTACCAGTAAAGGAAGCCATCAGCCTTTTAGAGGACTGACTTCTGAAGCAACGTGAGGATTCTACTTGGAAAAACAAAGTTCGATCATATCTCAAGCTTACTCGTCTTTGTATGGAGGAAAATTATTTCATTTTCAGAGGATATTTTTATAAACAAACTAAAGGCGTGCCTATGGGCAATCAGCTTTCTCCATTTTTATGTGAATTGTTCATGGCTAACCTAGAAAATACTCTGGAGGATAGGGATTTGTTGCATTTTTAGCATTGTCAAAAGGGAAATATTATCAAAAACTTTGGAGGCCATAAGCAACGTTCACAAGGACATCAAATTTACTCACGAAGAAGAGAGAGACGGCAAACTCCCCTTCTTAGATCTTCTCATCATTAGGGAAACGTCTTAGTTCAATTTCGAAATCTATAGGAAACCAACAAACACAAAGAGAGTAATACCATAGAGGTAACTCTAAGACTAGAAGGTCCCGAAATAACGTGCTCAACTTTTTGGCTCAGCTCTGGTACTCTCTTTGGTCCCAAGCTAATCGATTCACTCCTCGAAACATAGGAAAAACCAATAACCCCTCATTTTATCTGTCAAACTTTCATAGCGAATCAAAAAAAACATTGCGTAGTACTAGAATTTCGACTAGAATGGGATACGTTAACCGTTTGCTTGGGACCAATAGGCTAGTCAAGTAGTGAGCCAATTTAAAATCGTTAGTTTCGTATTGATTGTTGGTAATACCAACCGGTGGAAACTAACGATTTTAAATTGGCTCACTACTTGACTAGCCTGTTGGTCCCAAGCAAATCTATTAACGTACCTCATTCTAGTCGAAATTCTAGTACTACACTATGTTTGTTTTGATTCGCTGTGAAAGTTTGACAGATAAAAAGAGGGGTTCGTGGATTTTCCTATGTTTTGAGGGGTGCATCGATTAGCTTTGGACCGAAGAGAGTACCAGAGCTGAGCCAAAAAACTGAGCACGTTTCTTCGGGACCTTCTGGTCTTAGAGTTATCTCTATGGTAATACCAAGCACTTCAAACCATTCCCATCAACTCAAAATGGCCGCTTTTCACCACATGGTTCACAGTGTGCAAACTCTTCCTCTTAGCGATACACGCAAATCAAAGGAAATAGCTCACATTTTTGAAATCGCTAGACTTAATGGGTATCAAGAAAAAAACATTCAAGCAGTAATCGATAAAAGAACAAGGAATCATTTAAGGCGTATTTCGACAACTCTTACACCAGTAACTGAGGGTTTATACGGGTAGCGGTGATTTTCGACAAAAACATTGCCAAACCATTGATTTCGAAGTTTAGAAGTTTTGGCCTAGATTTAGTATTCAACAGCAGGACAAATCAGCTGAAGTCACTGTTAGGATCAACAAAAGATTCAATAAATGTCTTAGCGAAAGCCTGAGTCTACCAAATCTCTATTGCACAGACGAAAAAAAATCTACATTGGTCAGACGAAAAAGACTTTAGAAACAAGGTTTAACAGGGTGTCTACTCAATCCAAGGAATCAAATTCCCTGAGTTTTCCAGGTTTTTCCAGGTCGGATGAAAAAAAATTCCAGGTGCATACACATTATTATTTTATCTATTTATCCGTCTGGAATCCCTTTTA